ATTCCCTGCCCCCCTGAGCCAGTCAGCCCCCAGACCTATGTCTTGATGTCTTCCAAAGGGGCAAGGTCCCATCTCACATTCCCTATCAGCACTGGCAGCTCAGGCAGATAAACACAGATTGGCTGGATCCTAATGGTTTGCTTTTTCCCCACTACCCTGGTCTGACAGCTCAGACTGCCCATTTAACCACTGAATCTCTCAGGATACTCTGCGCTGGTTGACAGAGTTCAAGGAGAGAGGGAAAGACTCACTGGGATGGGAGTTCATAAAAATCTGTGTGCATTCCAAAAGACTCAGACAGCTTGCGAAACTAACAAGTGAACAGATCAGATGGTGGGGAAAGGAAGGGATTTTGGTTCCCCAGACATCGGCAAGAAAAGTAATACATCAGGACACAACATTTCCCATTAAGAGCCTGGAGTGTGTAGGGGACAATTTTTTGTTTCAGAAGGTTGAGGAAGAAAGCACAGGTCAGCCATTTTCTAGTTGATTGAGATCAACATGCGGGAATAGCTTGTGCATCTGAAGGTGGGAGTTAAGTAGTATATACCTCAACACCGTTCGTCACCATGAGATTTTGACAGGTCTATGTCCCGCCTCTTCTGCTTTTGTCTGAGCGGCCATTTTGAAAAAAGTTTCAAAGTGTTTTTCTCATGTCTGTGTCAGGGGTGTGCTGCGTGTTTGTGCCTAGAGACATTTGATTGCTTTTTAAGAATAAAAAATTGCAAAAGCTAATGAAATAAAAGAGGAAAGCTGAGAGAGGGGCTTGAAACATAAAAAAAGAGAAGAAAGTAGAAAAAAGGTTTTTAGAGATGGCAGTTAAAGAAATTAGCAGAGGGGCAATTTTAAAAAGTGGATAGTTGGAAAATAAAAACGGACAAAGAAAAGCAGCCTCCCAGCCCCTGGAATCCTTATCATTCCCCTATAGACAGCTGTTGGGTAAGGTTTCTGCTGCTTTCTAGATTCTCTCTCTTTCTCACCCAAGTAGCCATGTGTTGTGGGGTCTTTTGTCCTTTAGCTTTCTATACTGAACATCTCTCACCTCCGAAGAGGAAAAGATTTCTTGCTGCTGATTCTTCTAGCTACCACAGCTGTCTTTCAGCCTCCTTTTTTCTTTAAAAGCCTTCCTTTTTATCCTCTTTCATTGATTTCAGTTTATCCATCTCCCTCTTGCTGTTTTATCTAGCTGCCACTTCAAAAAGCCTTCTTTATTTTTTTAATTGGCTTCTAATTCTTTTTATATTTTTTATTCTATTTCCCTGTATTATTTAATGTGCTTTTAACTCATTTTTTACTTTTTTATTGCTGATTTCTACAATTGACACATGCTTCCCCCTGCTGTTCTATGCCCCTCTTTTATTTTAATTTGTTTTTATATTTATTTTATTTTTATTCAGTCTTGTAAATCTGTCTACCCACATTTTAAACTACCCCTCTGCCAATTTCTTTAGCCACCATCTCTAAAACCCTTTATTTCTATTTTCTTCTTTTAATTTATTTTTCAAATCCCTCTCTCTCCTTTCCATTTTTCATTCATTAGCCTTTGCAATTTTTATTCTTAAAAACCAATCAAATGTCTCCACCTGCAAACATGCCCCCTCCCCCCCCCCCCCCCCCC